TTAAGGTTCATAGCAATCCGTCCCCTTTGTACATTTGCAACGTATAACCATAACCTAAATTTTATTTTGTACTGTACCCTCCGTGATTTTCAGTATGAAAAAATGGTACGAAAATAAGAACACGTTGCTATCTGAATATCACCGTGAAGAACGAATAGGCGAACACTGTTAACGTACCAAACATAACCTCACTCTTGTTAAAAACGGACCAACGGAAACGTAAATGTTCAACTTCAACCAACTTTTCCGTCGTAAACGGACGACGTACGATTTAAAAATTTGCTGCCTTCTGATTGGCTAACGGACAAACGGAAACGTATGAACGGAGAGCTATGAACTTACCTTTAGTTGATAATTATTTTGCCACTTAAGGGTTATATGCGATTACATTAAAGTAGTTTGTGAATGTTAGTACCTCGGTTAGTACCTACTCAGTATCTTTGCCATCTCGGTTAAGTTATGGTCGAGTTTGAAATGCGTATGCCTCATAACGAGCCTCATAATAAAAGAAATTAAGAAGATTTTTTTGTATTTCAAGTGCTAAAGGAATATTCAGAACGCAAAATACATACATATGTACTTTCGTATGTACTTTTCACTCGACTTTTCAAACTTTACAAAAATCAATAGATTATAGATAGATAACGCTTGTGGAAAATATTGATTAATTACAAGAAATTATGTAGGCGTGTACGAAAATAAACATATTTAAGACCAAAATTTGCCAAATATGCCATTTACGCTTACGTACCCTCAGCTTTAACAAAAATACATCAAACAAAAAATGTTCAGTCTAGCGCTTTGAGAATGTCTAAATATTGGGAACAGATGATTGCAGGCGTCTTTAACCCAGTAAATCGCAATTGCAGTAAGTTTTAAAAATAAATGATATTACATTAACCTTGAAATAAACTACGCAAAATTCCTCTAATACGTTGATTGAACAAAGAAGTGCAATTTACGATTTTATCTAATCACGTAATTTTTTAATAATCTAATAGGTTATCCGCTATCGCCATGTTTACTTAACTCGAAAGAATTTTAATGTTCATTTAGAGAAAAATAGCTAAATAAGAGGGTTATTCCGTACCATTACATATCCCTTAAATGATTTTAAAATGTGAACATTAACTCAGTCTAAATTCATTATTCTTGGTTTGCTGAAGGTGGTGTTTACAAAAAGTGCAAAAGTTGCCTTGCGATTTCCTCAATAACTTTGTTTCGACGTAAAAAAATGAACTTCTGTTAACGACCGATGGTAGTTAAAGGTTTAAGCTTGTGGATGAAGTTAAATTTGATAACAAATTATTATCAGTGTGTGATAAAAATGAAAGATATTTTATATGGGAGTTTTTTAACAACTTATTTCCTAAATAATGGCGAAAGTGCAGGAATTAGCTAAATAATTGTGGAAAAAAATTTCCAATGTTTCAATGTAAACACCACCTTAATATCGTCGAATTATCAAAGATTTTGGGTGAAAAAACCAAATTTCCCCGCAAGTTTTAACTCCATATCTACACATGAACGCATAACGCAGCTAAATCAACGGAAATATTTGTATGTATCATAGGTATTGCGATTTCCGACATGCGATTATCTGTTGTGGAAAAGTTTTAGGAGTTATCTACAAAAGCGGAGAGTTACCATAATTCCCAAACAAAACCAGAACTGAAATGGCCGCTCGTACTAATAATTCTGATTCTATTTTCAAATGATATAAAAAAATAATGTTAACTTTCTTGGAAAATGATGCCGTCGGTTAGCTCACTAATTCACGGAAACTTGTAAAAGCATTTTTAGAGCATTTTTGAAAACAAGTTGAAAATCAGCATATGCATGATGAAAGCGCATTTTTGTTAATACAGATCAGTATTTAATTAGCAAAGTTCAAAATTATTGATCTCACGAGTAATGAACTCAAAATAGACTAGAGCCTGCACAATTACACTATAGCACAAAGCTTTTAGTGAACATTTGAATGCTCTAGGTTTATCTATTGTAATTGCCGAGATATCAGCCGCACAGCCAGCCAGCCAGCCAGAACGAATATACCTAATAGTGTATTTTTTTTTCAAAAATGCACTAAAAATACACTATTATATTCGTTACAGCTGTCTGTCTGGCAGAGACTTCTGCAATTACAATAGCTACAGACTTCAAATTTTCACTAAAAGCTTTCTGCTATAATATAGATGGACAGGCTCTAGTCTATTTTGAATTAGGTTACTCGAGAGATCGATCGAGATTTTCTCTCTACTTGAAAACTTAAAATCGCCGCACTTCTGCTTTAGACCACTTAATAGCAAATAAAGGCAAAAATTAAGAGACTAAACTGAGGATTAAACTTATTTCCGTTATTATATACGGACGGTTAGATAACGAACGTTGCCGAGGTGGTCTACATACCAATTTCTACGTACAGTTTTTGGCGTTTGAACAGTGCGAAGCAGAAGTAATATAAGATAGTGGAGAGGACCTATTGACACACTTTAATTACTGACGACGTTGAAGAGTGAAAAAGGAACATTTTAAATGTAATTCTACGTAGGTTTACGTTGGTGCTAATTGTATAGTGGATAAAAGCCTAGTATCTGCGTAGAATTAGTGGGCACTGAATAACGAGCGCGTTATTATATTGTTCGACGTATCGTTAAGTGTTTTAAAAGGCGTTTTGAAGCGTAGATAAGATTAAGGGGCATTTATCAGTACGTGCTAAAAAAATTCTGTTATTAAATTTAATTAAGTACCTATGTGACATTATTGGAACAAATTTTAAGTTGTATTTAATCCAGTACCAGGCTGATTTTATTGCGTGAGCCCTCATTATTCGTCCACATTCGTCAAGCGGAAAATGCCAAGGAAATTCGGGATCGTTTTCACAAAGCATTTTGGAAGTTAAGGATCAATGGATTGGAATGTTCATGCTGGCTGATCTTCCAGATAAGATGGAGAGTTCAGGTATAGAAATTACCGAGACTACGTCAAGACTTTTTATTATGGTCAAGGCAAAGTTAGTTCAGGATCTCGTTCAGGATATACAAGTAAACTTCAGTGAAAATCAAGCCGCTGCATTTGTTCGGAAACCAAGGTCTGGTGACTGGTGAGAAAACTGTAGTGTTATAGATGTCATGAATTCGGACATACAAAGTCGAATTATCCTAAGAAGAAACGCGACAAGAAGAAAACTGAAGGCAAGAACATGTGTTGTGCTATATCGGCGATGAAGTATGTATCTAAAAAAAGAATGGACTTTTGATTCTGGCGCAACTTTACACATGTGCAACGACCTTAATCTTTATGAGAATGTTCCAGAGATGTTTTTGGTGTCACAAAATGTAGTTCCAGTGAGGCAAGAAACGGAATTGTGTTTTTTTTGCTTAGATTAGAACAATTTAATTTTCAGTCTCCCAGATAGATACTTCACTTCATGAATATTATTGCTTCTTTGGTAATAAAGTTATCAATGATTTCGAATTTTCGACGGGCTTCGTTATTAATTAAGGCCCAGACTGTTTGTCTCAGTTTAAACTTATCTTCTCTCCTCTGTTTTCATGGAAATTAACTGTCAGATTCTACAAACTGATAACCTACGATTGTTCCGGTAAGGTTTTTGCTGATTGGTTGCCAAGGTACTTTATCAAAGATGCTGATATGCTACTCCTGAAGCTGCGAGATGATGGAATACTTTTGGATTGGATCCAAGAGGAAAATCCAAGTATTCCGACCGCAACTTTCTGTATTTGTACAATACTATGGGATTTTGGGTACGTCCTATACAGATTATTGCGAAAAAAGCACAGCAATTCCGATCAAAGTGTAGCAAATGGTAATACAAAAATTCCCACATAACAATAAGAAATATGATCAATTTCAAGGTTTTTCTGACTTCTTTGAAAACATCTTGAGGAAAATACCCGTGCAAATTCCACATATGACATGTATGTATGCATACATTAAAATGTCAAATAAGAAGTCCAGTGTACAGTCGTGTTAAAAATGTAAACAAAACGACCTACAATGTATGACAAAAAATGTAGGTAATTAAGTAGCATTGCGTATATCAAAACAGATTATACAATATTATGATGGTATCGAATAACTGTGTATTACTCATTTCAGCTTGATCAGAAAGTTTTCTGTATGGGACCTGTTATTAGTCAGCGTAACATGAACTTGGTCATGGATATGGTCTTTCAAGGGCAGCCCTATCTTGTGTGTAATTTCTGTATTGATTTCCAATAATTTGCGATTTCTTTTTTAGTACAACGATTCAGAATCTGCATTGTCTACATTTTTAACCATTCAAATTGACTCGAAATCGCTTTGAAAGGTATCAGGTACATTTGATAGCCGTTATTCGACTCCATGAAAACAA